ATCCATAAACTCCTGGGGTATCTAACCAAACGTTTGGTAATCAAACACCAATCGTTCAATTGCATTCCATAAAATTGAACACAGTAATCAAACTCACAAGAAAAACTTGTCAATTGAACATAATCGAATGTTCGATTGCCGAACGGTTGGCAATCAAACTCAATCGAACCTTAATCAAATGTTCAATACCTGCTTACAGTGACATCTTTTAATTTTTGGGGGTGTTTTTTCTGTTTATTCTGTTATAATAAAATGAAAAGGTTGATTATTCCTGTGATTCTGAGCAAAATCAAACTGGATTCAGCTTGATTGCATTCGATTGGTTTGATGATTCAACTCACCCAAAATTAGACTATGAGCAGTCCCTCTTTCCCAGCTTAGTCCGTCAAGTGAGAAGCGTGCTTGTCTCGCCCCCAGTTTTTCGCGCGGCCATTTTCCACTCGCGAATTTTTATCGCTTCTCGTTTGACGGACTAAGCTGGGAAAGAGGGACTGCTCATAGTCTAACCCAAAATTAAATTATTGATGTTCGATTATGTTCGATTGCCGAACCCAATAGCACACTTGCACGATGTTGTCATTTGACTACAAGTACCAGAATTCATTTTGTTTTCCTTTATTATTAATTTAAATTTTTACATGTAAATCCCATTGGGGTTTAAATAACAATGGCTCTAATTAGAATGAGAAAAAGAAAAACTGAAGGATTCTGGTAGTTGAAGTCAAATGACGCCATCATACAAATCTCCTATTGAACGCGATTTTGTTCGATTAGACACCCTGGAACAAATAATTAGCTTCAGTGAGTTTGATTGTCATCAGAGAAACACTGTGTTTGAGATGAATGGCTTATAAAGTCACATTTCCAGATCTGTGATGTCTGACTTGAAATAAATAACACAGGCAATGATTGAAAGGACAATATGACATGTCTACCACATGTTTTTCAATAATTTGAAAAGTTAACTCATGATTAATTAATTTGTTATCAATAAACATGACTGTACATATAATTAGGCGCATAAATAAAATATACGCTCATAAAATGTAAGCAGCACGTCTTGCATATATTAGTTTATATTGTAAATTCCATTGTTGCTGAGTGTAACACAAGCCATTGTTGTGTGTGGCTTAATTTAGTATAGTTTTACACATAAGACTTGCTATTGATCACTGATCAAATTACTCTCTAAAAATATACAGTATACATGTACGTACATATATACATGTATGTATACTGCAACCTGGCTGAGCCAAAGACCTTGTTGTTACTTATGCTAACTGTTCATGTACTGTGAGATGTTTGCTTATGATACAAGTTTGGTGCTTTGCCATGTTGTTCCCTGTTTACATTCTAAAGGTATTTCTACCACCTAGTAATTAAAATAAGCCATCTCTTTGTAACAGTCATACAAAATAAAACAAAAAGCCTTTTGAAATGAGAACAATAGCTACATGGTGTGTTTGTTCCCAAACAACATTAATTTTCAAGAGTTTGATTTTTAGACTCTTGATATTTTCAATGAAAGGAACTAAAAATTAATAATAATTATTATTAATAATATAACTTATTTTAACACAAAATTGAATTATTGTGTGGGCTACACAAAGTGAACCACTCTATCTATGGCATGAGCTGAAATTTACAAATTTGTTTGTTTGTGGAGTTGTATGCCTGGTTAATCACAAAGATAACAAGATGTCATATGAGGGGTCATTTAGAACAGTGAGGAGTAATGGGTTCATGTATGAACTGCAGAACTTGATTGAAATGTAAAAAAAGTCCCAATTGAAATCATTTACTTGAATGAGCCATGTATAAACAAGCAAATAGGGTCGATTTTTGTTGTGTGTTTTGAAAAAAAAAAGTCTGAGTCACAAGAGTAAAAAACATTTTTGTGTCTGTACTCTCAAGTTGTTCAATCAACATTGAAGAGGGAATGGAAGGGGAAAGAAAGTACATGTAATCCTAGCAATTGTGATGCAGAATGACTCGATCATAAAATATTATACAGTAGTTCACTTGGCATATGTTTTGGAAGTTACATATTTCATAGTGCAATAGAAAATTATTGCCAATGAGTCAGCCCTTTTGAAGACAAACAGACTTGGCGGCAGATTATAATGCCGATGCATGCGCCTTTGATTTGTTCAAGCTGGTCATCTTTTTTTGTGATCTCTTAATTATTGACAATAATTATTTTCTGCTACATGTCAGACGAGAGATCTAAAGACTATGGAGTTGTATTTTTTGCATGTATTGTCTAGCAGTGCTTCCTAGCCTGCAGGAGAGGCAGTTTAGGGAGGGCTTTTCACTAAAGTGCAAAGCACAAGATGAGAGAGTTGGACAAGATGCTGCGCAAACATACTGCAATAAAACACCACACTATAAAATGCGACATACCATAAACAACCTCTTAACCAAACCTCGACTACATACACAGTCTGTGGCAGATCTAGGGGAGCCCCTAATTATAGGTGAATTAAGGGCTGAAGGGCAAAAATATTTTTGGGCTCCCAGCTTAATTTAAGGCCCAAAGGGCTGGAAAAATTTTCAGGCCTCACAATATAAACAGGTCTTGGTCCGCCACTGCAGATACGTGTACATGTATATGGCTACTTATTATATGAACAGAACAAACATGTACACTGTGTGTTATTCTTTACTAGGTATTATGCACAAGTTCATGTGCCTGGTGTTCTTTGGAGTTGCTGTTCAGTTTTGTGTACTGTGTAGTGGAGAAGATGTTCATTCCTATGCTAATTGTAGAGGTAAATGTTCGTTGCATCATATTATTGGCCATCAACAACAACTTTAGTTTGAAAAATCCTCTCTGACTCTCTCTTCAACCAAAACACCAAAATTTAGTATTGAACATTTCTTTGTATGCTACAAACCAATTTTCAATCATAATTATTTTGATGCCATCTTTCAAAATCTGTTTTACATGTGCAAGTCCCCCAGGATGCTATTGAAAACCCTGGTAATGGTTTTCATTATTACAGTCGAACCTCCGCTAACAGACACCTCCCGTAGGCGGACAAAGTTCTCTCATGAATAAGTGGACACTTAGTCTTGTTCCCAGCTAAACACTACATTTTTAGCCTCCCATAAGCGGACACCTCTCTTAAGCGGACACTTTTTCTGGTCCCGAGGGTGTCCGCTTACGGGAGGTTCGACTGTACTTGATTTAAATATCTTGTAAGTAATACCGGTATTGAATTGTGTGCTTGTTTCCTTTAGACTGTCTCAGATTCCCTCCAAATGGAACATCAGTATCACACATAGAGAGACTTCTGATTGATGTAACCAATGACAGATTGCTTGTTGGTTCTTTGTAAGTGAAGACATAACATTTTAATTTGTGCCATTTGCACCTGTAGCTGTGCTTTTGTGGTTCACAGCTTCTGAGTGGTGGAGTATTCTGAAGACTTACTCTGGCCATTGTTTCCAATGTTTCAAGAGTCGGCTAAAACTATGAAAACACTCTCACAGCTGTGCATTAATGGAACTCTGCTGAGTACATGTACATTGTAGCTTGCACACCGACATGTAGGATCACTACTTGTAAGTGTTGATTTTCACTGGCAGTTGCTGAGGCTCAGGCTTTTAGCCAGATGGGCGTGGACGCCCACTTTTTGGAGAAAATTAGTATTTAATTTCACATCTTGACCTTTGAATTGCTGGCTTGAGAGTTATTTTGGATGCCCCCTTTTCAAATCCTGGCTAAAAGCCTGCTGAGGCTTCTAGCTAGAGAACCCTGTTTGTAGATTAAATGGTTTAGATTTTGATGACTTTACAGGGATGTAGATAATAGCCGGGAGCCGGTAAAAATACCCGGCTGTCACGCTGATTTTCCCGGCTGAAAAACCATGTACAGTCTTTAAAATGATACCTCTTTCTCCTGAATGTTTTTAGCCAATATTTTTGTAACTTTTTCTGACTGTTTGTACCTCTGGTTATTGTCTTACCGTAAATAACACGACTGTAAACACGGCATTAGTACGCCATTTTGAACGACGATCGTGTGTTTGCTCAAGGCTCATTGACCAGCGGTGTCTCTACTTCATGTATGCGAAATAATGTACGCCAATTCGCGTTAACGCTTTGCCTTATTAACTGAATCGTCGGTATTTATTCTTGTATGTATTGTAAGGAACATAAAAGACACATCAGAGAGTCTAGATTTCAAAATTTTCTGGGGGGCATGCCCCCATACCCCCCTAGTAGGATGGTGCCTTCGGCACCATGGGCCTCCGCCACCATGGGGCCTCCGCCCAAGTATTTCCGCCTATTAGCTATATAATCCCGCCTGTCAAAAAATGAATCTACATCCCTGCTTTACATGTAAGTTCTGTAAGGCACTTGCCATGCAGTATAGAGGTCGGTTTACCATACCATGATCATGTTATAATATTATTATGTATTATGTATTAAATGCACCAATATATTAGCTCCCAAATTATTGTGCTTTCAGCTAATTTCTTTTTTTTCCCCCACAGAAATTCACTGTTCAGACTCGAATTAACTACTTTACGATTACTATCAGCTCAAAATGATGTGAGTAATAATAAATTATTATTTTAAACATATTATGTCAGTCACCGACTGGCCAAGGACTTGGGGACTTGTACCATGTTTACCTAGCCAACTTTGTTTGCTGTCGTGTTCATCAGTACTTTGAAAGGGCTGTGGAATTAGCGTGCAAAAGCATATAGCAGTATCGATTGAAAAAAAAATTAACTAAATAAAAATCTTGCCCAGTAGCAGCTGTAACATGATTTTTACTGTAAAAGGTTTTGTTAATACAATGTAGTTATCTAGACAAGTACATGTATGACATGTTTTTAGAGGTTCTCAAGATTTCCATAATACTTAGGTAATACATGTGTTCTATATTATTATTAATGTTCATGCAGTTTGAATGCCTCAGAGTAATGTACAGTGCAAAAATATGAGAAATCAGGCAGTGACACAAGCTACTCAGAATTTTTTCCGAGTTCTCCCAACAGGAGTCGAACCTATGACCTTCCGCACACTGGTCGGATGCTCTTTCACTGAGCTACACATTTGAACCTATAATTTGTAGCTATATGGCCTAAGCTCCCACGAGTCTCCTGTAGCTCAGTGTTAGAGCATCTGACTTGGTGTGCAGAAGGTCATAGGTTCAACTCCTGTTGGGAGAATTTTTTTTTTTTCTAAGTAGCTGGTGTCACTGACTGAATAACATCTCATATTTCTACCAAGCTTTATACAGTCAAAACACTTAGCGCGTTCGTCCTAAGGGTGAATTCATGAATGAATTCATTATTTCAAATTTGATCTCATTACCGTATTTATTCACCCTTGGGAGGAATGCGCTGAGTATTTTGACTGTAAAAGTATACCATCATTTCTTTCAACAGTGTAACATATGTTTTGCTAATGATTGTTATAATTCTAATTAAGGTTGTAGCTTTACTACCGAGCCAGCCAGCAATACAAGCATGTTCAAATTTGGGACTAACAAAAGTAAGTTCATGTGACGATGAATTTATCATAAATTATATTACATGTATTTAATACATTATGTGAATGTACAGGTGAAAGATTTAAATAGAAAGAGATCTTTGCACTGGTTTTACTAACATTATTCCAGCACCTTACACATTCATTATGCAATTAGTGATATTCCAAGCATTCCTTGCAATAGGGTCCTTTCGAGATATTAAAATTCAGCTTGATAACTAGGCTGAGAGGACACAAACAAAAGAAAGAATAAACATCATGCTTGTTCAATTTCCATTGTTTGTGTCCTCTCAGCCTTGCTACCAAGCTATACCTGCTAACTCTCATGGCCACGCATTAGGTGTGTGTCTCACGCCTGCCGGTCTAAAACTTTGATCTCACGCCAGCTCACGCCTACGGACCAATTTCTCACGCCTGGCTGAAAAAATTTTGAGATATTACAGCCTTAACTGACACACTTTCAAAAAATACATGTAAACTCGAACCAATGTGAGGAAACATGGTTCTATAAATAACGCTATATGTCATGTTTGAATCCTCCAAACCGTGTCCGAACGCATTGCGGAACTGGATACAACTCTTCGTTAACGTTCGGAAATCTTCGAATCATCTTTGGAAATCTTCAGAATTTAAAGATGTCTTTTGGCAATGTTCGGACATCGTCGGAACATCTTCGGAAATCCAGGTACTCTGAAGACAAAAATCTCACGCATTTGACTCATGAAAAGTTGGCCGGTATACCAAGCTGAATTTAAATATCTCGAAAGGACCCTATTCTCTGGTGGCTTTCTTGTGAGGGGCCAGAAACAAGACAAGACATGCAAGAATATAAACAACTTAATTTTGATGTACTATAGATATGACACACTGTATAGTAATGGAAATGTGCTTTAGGTACATATAATTTGAAAGGTTATAAAATTATTTTTATTTTAATGTGACAGCTTTTCTTCCCATTAGGGCAATTGTCAAAATCATATAAAGCTGCTAATGTTTGACCCACAAGGTCTCATTTTTGTGTGTGGTACTTATGCAGCAGCACCAAAGTGCTGGAAAATTCAGGCAAGTTACATGTACTTCTGCTTGGCATGTTTTAAAGTGATTATCTCAGTGTGTTAACTTTGTAATTCCCTTTTCCCCTCCATCCTTGCAATATATTTACAGTAGTATAGTGATACTCTCCTATTAACTTGTCAAAGAGCAATGCCTAAATGGAGGGCAGGTGCCGATTGTGAGCAACATGGGCAAAAGGCAAATGAACATGAGCAAAATGCAAATGAGGAGGTAACCATGGCAACCTCGCATGGGTCAACCCCCCACCCCTGTCACCTGTCACACTGATGTCTCAGTGGAGAATAAAAGGAAAACTACTTACCAGATCCCAAAATACTGACTAAGGACCAAGAGGTGGGTGGGCGGGGCAAACAGAAGGCAAAATACCAGCCGAGGTAAATCACACAAGCAAGCCACGATGCGCATGCGTCAATAGATCACCTGCTGGCCAACAGAAGATCTCCCAGTTAACTATGATTATTGATAATCTCATTAAAAAACTTTTTATTCATTCGTTTTGACTTCTTGTAGAATCTCTGACTGTTAAAAAGTTTCCATGTGACTAAGTACATGTACATGATAGTCCAGTTCTGTCATGCAATGCTACGCTCGCGTAGAGGGTCCAGGGACAATTGTCTGCGCATGCTCAACGGTTAGTCAGCTTCTTAGCTAATCGCTACTGCGCATGTATTTTTATACTGACAAGTTTTGATCTCTTTGGGCGCCTCGGTCAGTGAAAAGTATAGAGAAATGTTTCCTGAATACGACCCTATATTTGTAGATGCTGTAAGTTCGGCTGTTTCTTCTTGTGTAAAGATGTAGCAGGTACCAGTAATGGACAAAACTACTCCAACTACAATCTAGAAGGTTTATTTCGCTCGGTGGGAGAGCTCCACTGAAACGTGCTTGCTTTTGTTACAAGAGAACTCACACACTAAAATAACAGCATTCGTGACTTAAGAGAGCATCTCCAGAAAAATCGAACTTTGACCGGCAAACTTCAAATTTCAAAATCGCTCAAACTGTGGCTTTTAGTAGTTCATATTGAGTTATTCATCGCTATGTGGTTTGTTTGTGAAAAATGCTTTTGTTTCGGCAAAAAATGACGAAAATCAATTTCAGTGCTCGATACAAGAAAATTTGGCTTGAAAATTAGCCATTTTTAAACAAACCGCTTGCCTTAACTATTAATCCAGAAGACATCCACTTGATATCAGCGTATTCTATGACTTTTCCAGGGTCTATTTTATAATTTCCATAAAGATTGAAAAACTTATGACACTGAGAGAGGCCTGAAAAAAATCCCCTGTTTCTCGATGGCAATTACAAGCTCGATTGAAAAAATTATTTACCCTACTACCTTTATCACAAATCAAATGAAATTTAGGAATTACACTAAGGAGGAAATGGCCTTTCAACTGATATAATTTTTTTTCTGGGGAAATTATATTGCGCTCTGTGAGAGAGCGCTCAAAATGGCCGAAAAATGATATACGTGACTAGTGGATTGCGTGACATACCGTGACCGTAGCACATATTTCAGTGCTGCTTTAGTCAAAGAAATGGTAAAATCCAAATTCCTGCCTTGGGGATATTAAAAAACACTTTCTTTTGAGAATCTCAGTATTTTTCGTACATCATTGATCCTTCCCACGATGATGTGGCGTAAGAAAATGGTTTATTTCACTGTGTGAATTGTACTTTGGCTTATAAGAAATTCTCTGATATCCACGCTATTTGAACTTAATCTTGTGTAATCTTGTTGTTTTTCTAACATTCATTCTCAGCTAAACACTTCTCTGGTTGGGTACTAATTTACATATCATACATGTATGTGTTACAAGAGGGTTACCAACTTTAAATGTATAAATACTAGGGTGAATCTAAGGGGTGGGGTCAAGGGTTTCTGGACCCCCTTTTCCCTGATGGTAGATACTTTAAGGATAAACAAATTACATTGCTTTACGCGTTTTGACACCTAGCGGGAATTGTATCTATTTCTACATTTACATATAAAATATAATTTCTTTTTCATCCATACTGTTGTCAGAACTTACTCATTTAACATGGAATTGTATCTATTTCTATATTTGCGCACGAAATGCTCTATGACAAGGCCATGTTAGACTACTCTGACTAAACTGAACTGTGGCGCAAGCAAAGCTCCAACAGTGATACATGTAGAGAGAAGTAGATCATCACTACCAGCCACACCTACTCTCACGATGGGATGGGCACTGATATCGACACAGTCATGAAGGCTTTGAATTTACCGACAAACAAAAGCAGTACCTAAATGTCAAGTTTCAAATTGGAGAGAGAACCGGGAAGAAGGACGATCGACCGACGTTTCTAAAGCGATGAGGATTGCGAAAGAAAGCAACGGGGAGAGATTATTCGCGTACGGCTATGGCGATTTTCTCACGAGCCAGCACATTAATAATAATAATAATAATAATAGATCAGCTGTGAAAAAGAATCACAGCTGGTGTAAACCTATGTGCGATGCAGTAAATAAGGTTGTCAAAGGTTGCAGACTGGCAAACCGAAAGCTCATATTTTTAAATTTTAACCAGAGAACGATTTTTTAAATTTTTACAATAAAATATGTACATAAATAATTGTTCTTATAAAAAATAGTCTAAAATATTTATAATTTAAAAAGGAAAGAAGAAATATTCCAAAAATATAAAGTTACATATCGAAAAAGAAAAAGAAGAAAAAGAATATGACAATTTTCATCTAACTCTAAAAAGTATCGATGATTATACGAAACATCTGACTATATAAATTTCCCTGAGAGACGAGCTTAGTAAGCCGGCGCTTTTCAAAGATAGTTTTCCAAAAGGGTATTTAAATTAGTTTAACTCTATTCTGCCTGGGGGGGGAGGGACGGAAAGTGGCCGCGCTGATTTAAAACCTTTATTACTTTAAGGAAATGTAGCCAAACTTTGTGACTTTTCCCAAAAAATGATCTGGGAACATGTTGGTGCGTCAATGTTTTGATCACGTGACTTGACATTTCCATAGCAATCAATTTTTGACAGGTTGTTTTATTCAAATTAGGTGTTTTTCATCTAATTCTTTCGGGTTTTATGTGATTTTGCTTTTTATTAAGAGTGTCTTCCAAAATCTTTACAGTTTCTGTATCCTTATATTTTTTCTTGATTTTTTTCAAATCAAATTTGGAGATTTTCTGACATTTCCGAAAGATTTAGCAATCCAAGATGGCGGATCCAAGATGGTGGATTTTTTAAAACGTATATGACGTCCAATTTGGCGTGATATGACGTCGTGATCAACATGTGACTGTTACCAAAATAAAACATTTTTTTGATGCTTTACACACCATATAAGTTTCATTTCTTTTGCATAAATACTTATGAAGATATATTGGGGTGGGGGCACATTCTGCATTCACCCCCCCCCCCCCCCCCCCCCCCCCCTCCTCCCAGGCTCATGAATGAAAAACAAAGCCCAGGCAGAATAGTGTTAATTTAGTTGGTACTCAAAGATGTTACAGATAACAAATAACAGTCTTTATTGTCACATGTTAAATGAGTAAGTTCTGACAACAGTATGGATGAAAAAGAAAATTATATTTATATGTAAATGTAGAAATAGA